ATACTTGTTTGTGAAAGATATATTTTGACTATGTAATGTATTATATTTGTACATTTTAATTTATTTTAAAATATTAATATATGAATTTATAAGTTACAAAAAGTGATATTTTCACAAATTTAACAACACATTTTTGTATATTAAATGGATACAACTTCTTTTTTTATGTGTGAACGACTGGAATTACAAGATTATAACATTTTTAATTTACATATCATTTTTATTAGATTTGAATTTAATTTTGTATATATATACAATATTACAAAATATATTATAGCATATTTTTCAGGATTAAATATGGTTTATTAATACAAATTTTGATAGTAATACGATATTTTAATTAAATTATAAATAAGACGAGATCTGCTAAAATATAAAATAATAAAGTTGGAGATTAAATTATATTTTTTAAATAACGAGTATATATACTTTAGGTAGTTTTAATAGTATAAAATATTATTAAATTATAATGAAAATCACTTTTTATTATTTTTATATAATAATTTGTATTGTTGTTATAATAATTATCTATACTATATTTGAAGTTTTAATAAAAATGACGAGTTATTATCTGAATTTTTAAAAATTGCTAAAAAGTTGATGAAATTATTATTTAAGCATTTAAAAACTTAAATAAAAATTGATTTGTTTTTCTTTAGGTTTTAAAGTTGAAAAAAGATGATGAATTGTTTTCTAAAAATTGTGTTTAACACTTATACTTTTTACCCTTATATTTATTTATTTAATTTGTTTTATATTTTTAATTTTTTTTTTAATTTTTAATTTTACACCCTTATTTTATTAACACACATAATCTCTCTCTCTCACACACACACACATATATATAATACTTCATAAAAATATATTTCATTTTACAAATTAAACAATTATAATTGTCTCGTCAATACCTTCAAAATGAGCCAAATATGCAATATTTTTTGATTTAATCATATTATTGAATATCATAAATACACAAAAAAAGTTATGTTGGGTTCAAGATTAGTGCTTAAATGTTGTATTCAAGTTTCTCCATTTACTTAGTTTTCTTGTAATTAGTTTAGCATTATTTTCTTTAGTATAAATAGTCTTTTCAGTGTATTCTGTAATTACACATTGATTACATCATTAATCAAAAAGGTGATTTGACAGCAAATATTCTCTCTCTCCAATCTAT